GTGGGTGGTTCAAAATAGGTTGGAATGTCGGATTCGATCAGGGATTCGCTCTAACACTGCGAGCAGCTGAGCGTAGGGAAGTACAAAGTAACGAAAACATACACATTTCAAATAAGATGGTGTCAAAAATGTTGTTTTGTTAAGAAGGCAACTGAACCGCAACTATGCACGCTTGTAACTCTCGCCTATTATTTAATTTATTAGGAGGATCCAATGTTTGAGAGAATGGGTGTGTTGGTGTGACCACTATTGATTATTCTATGACTCGTAAAACTGCGCTTAATATCAATAAACAGTGTTTTAAGTGGGGGTATGTGGTTTTGTACACACATGGTAATAGTGACCCGCTTAATTAGTCTATATAACATTGATTTACACCAATTTTAAAACAGCTTAATATATATGGCTTCTCATTAACCAGAATTATGCTCTTATATTTTCTATCTTTATTCTCTCTATATCTAGGGGTGTCAAAATAGGTTGGAATGTCGGATTCGACATGGATTCGCCTAACACGCGACACGATGAGGGTCAATACGAACACAACCCATTTAATAATCGTGTCAAATTTTTTGACACGAACGCAACACGTGTAACCCGCCTAATATTATAAACATGTTAAGTGGTTGTGTTGACCCATATATAACTCGTATAACTCGCTTAATATCATAAACAGGTTAAGTGGGTTGTGTTGACCTGTATATGACCCGCTTAATTTGCTTATAACATTTTTAAATTTTAACCTAATTAACTCAAATCATATTTAAAAATAATTTTTCATATATAAAATGCATAGATTCTTAAAGATTCATTACTAACATAAAAAGACTAATACAATAATAAAAGTTAAATATGTTTAGTTGGAGTATTTATATTTGACACTAAATAAACGGATCACTCGCCTAACCCACATGTCAACTTGCGACACGAACCTTTTATATTCGTGTCATAAATGGATGACCCGTTTATGATATGAACCCGTGTAATCTCAACCCTGACCTGTTTATTTCTTGTATCAGGTGAATCGTGTTCGCGTATCAGACCCATTTTAATACCCTATCTATATCCTTCCTATTTTTTATTATTTTATAATACTTTTTTTTTATACAAATTGAAATTTATACACCGTAATGATAAATTAAAAAATGATGGGTGAAATTAACCATAAAAGATGTTTATATTTATATGATTCGATTGATTAACACATTAAAATCAAATTGTTACGTTCAATGGTACTTACACGCGTTGCACTAACTCTATCGATACGACGTATTTTTATTCGTGGAGAATTTCATTCTTCAAATTGGGATCCAAATGCACGATTTATTATTTGTAAGATTTTTATAAGGATGATCAGGTTGAATAAGATAACCTAAGAATAGAACTGTTGACAAAATTCATACTAAAAAAGAAAAATCAAATAATATATTTCTTAAAAATGGAATAAAATAATTTATTTTTCTTGTGAATCCTGCAATTTATTGTAAGTATTATTAACTCGATGATTGAATAATTATTTTGTAACAATGATTTTTTTTTTTTTATGATTTTATAGTAGGGAGATTTGAACCTCTAGATTTACGCTCTGTTTGCATGGGGGTATTTTTTTTAAGAAATCAAAATAGCTGAGGAAAAAGCTGTAGAAAATAATTTTACCTTATTTAGAAAAGAAGGAAAAATAATGAAGGAATGAATTAATTTATTTTCCTCCTGTCTCACATAGATAGAATCTCTCTCCACTTGGGAGAGAAAATAATGGTGGAATATTAAAGTTTCTTCAATTTTTACGCAATTACCCAAATACCCAAACTACTTTAAATTAAATATTGAAGTTATATGATCATCAAAGTCCTCTAAAAGGATAAGTGAGGTTAAAATGGTAAGATATCAATATTAATAATTTTTTTCTCTAAAATTTTACATTTTCTAAACAAAAAAATAATTTTATTTTCTTTCCTTCATTATTTTCTTTCATTATCCAAACACAACGGTAAAAAATAACAATTTATCGTTATTTTGATTTTCTTTTATTATTTTGATTCTTCTTCATTCCAAAATAGAGCGTTAATCTTAGATAGTCTTATCATCGCTAGGTTGTTTTTTATATTCACTATAATTACCGAAAACAATCCCATAAAAAAAAAAAAAAAAAAAAAAAAAAAAAAACTTCATTCCCAAAAATAGAGCGTTTAATTCTTTAGATAGTCTTATCATCGCTAAGGTTGTTTTTTATATTCACTATAATTATGACCCGAAAACAATCCCATAAAAAAAAAAAAAAAAAAAAAGATAAAAGGGAGGGACGAATCGAGCAATCTTCAAATATTGTAAAATCGGAGTGGGACATTAAAGCCATAATCTCAAAAAAAAAAAAAAAAAAAAAAAAAAGATAAAAAAACACTAGAGTTTCACATCTTCAATATTGTAAATCGGAGTGGGACATTAAGCCATATCTCAACAGGACAACCTTAATTGTAGTTTACAATATGTTTCCAAGACGATATGTCGTTTACATGAAGCTTGAGCTTCAAAAGGTACCTCTCAAAACAATTAAATACTCGATATGCTTCGAAACAAACAAAAGTTTTGATTAACTGCACTTCTTCCTCTTTACTCGAAACTTTTCGTGAGCTGTAATAAAATATATTGCAGTATAACCGTGGGCAGTCATAAAATATAATTCACTTCTTTTGACAAACAGTTTATTTGCAAACAACGGATTCTACCCTCACATCTGAAGTCGAACCGGAGGGCATAAAGTCACTGACTAAAGCAAATTAATATTTGAGATTTTATTTTAGAGAAGGAGAGAGGAGAAAAACAAGGAGGAATTGTCAATTTTCTGCATACTTATTTCACTCTTTTATTTGGAAAAAATAAAACGAAGAAAATAAATTACATTTTTGTTTATTTTCAAAGAGTAAAATTCTAGAAGAAAGAAAATATTATAATTAAAAATTAATAATCTTACTCTCATTGGAAATCTAAAAATTGACAAGTATTAAAAATTTGGAGTTATTTGGGTAAATTCATAAAAACAATAAAATTTTCACTTTGTTCAATTTTCTCTCCAAATTGGAGAGATTTCTGATTGTAGATCTGAATGAAAAATAATTTAAGTTTTATTTTTCTCTCTCCTTCTCAATCAATCAAAAAACTCATTTACTCAAGCCAATAAGTTGAGTTTGGCTAGTCTTTTCACTAGTTTGAGAAATGAGAGTTTCTGAATTCGAGTCCTCTCGACCATAAGAGTTTTCACCAATTTTGTAAATCAAGAGAAGGGTTATCTCCTATTATGTAATATCGTATTATTTTGGCTTATTGAACTTCCTTATTTCTTTTATTGTTTACTTCTCTACTTCCACACAAACAAAGTGAAGGGCAATGATAAATAAAGATTAGCATTCATTTGATTTGGTTCAAACCAAATCAAATTGGAAAAGCCAAACAAATCAATTTTTTTAAAAAAATAAAAATCAATTTTAAAAAAAATAAAAATAAACCAAAGTAAATAATGTATAAAAACTAAATCGAATCTAAATAGTTTGATTTGGTCAATTTGATGGATTCTTAATGGGTTTAAGATTATTTTTTAGGCTTCAAAAAAAAATGAACAAAAAAAAAATCATTTTCCATAAAAGTTGAAATTGAACCGTGATAAAAATCAAATCAAATCAAACTAATTGAACCAATCGGTTGAAACCAAAATATGCTCAACCTTAATGGAACTTTGTAATTAATTGAATATTATTATTTTTTAAACAAACGTTTAGATGTTCATTCATTTGGTACTTAGTACTATTTTCATATTTTCTTATGTAACTTTTTTCTGATATTTGAATAAATTTTTATTTTCTTAAACAAGTACGAGTCCTAATGAACACTGTTGTTATTCGGTAACAAACCTTGTTTCAAAGCACACGTCCCATGTGTCAGGAATTGGTTAATGATATTAAGATTTAAAATGCTTTTTTGGTTTTTTGTTTAGGTACTAAATTTTGGTTGGCTAATTGGGTGTTTGATTTTAAGTACTCGATGTTGCTGTAAGAAATGACAAGGAGCTAACGCATATTTTTAATCCAGCTCTCTCATTGGTTATTTGTCCCAATAGTAATTGCGATTAGCCACAGAGAACTAAAACACTATAAACATGGATTTGCTATGAGCGAGTTGGGATTGTATAAAAAGTAGATAAACCTTGCCATCCTTTAGATTAGATTTCTTAACCCTGTAGTCACAGAGCTCAGGCATCATTAATTTTTATTGGATGCGTGGAAAATATGATTCAAGTTTGCATCCTTAATTTATAGTTTTGACATAAATTGCTATATATTTAAATGACATAAAATAATAGCTAATTTTTAGTTAGTCTTTGGACTCTTTAATGTTTGCTGCACTTGCAAAATACTAGCAAAAGATTCCTTTTCTTTCCATTTCTTTATCCATAGGGAATTCTTTTTTCCAGGAACAGTTAATTTCAAGCTCCAACACCACTTATTTTTAATCCATAAAGGCTACTATGCATGCAATAGGCACATTGAAATTCCAAACTTTAATTTCTTGCTCTGTGATGTGTTTGCAGTTCTGCAGCCAATTGAGAAATCATTTGCAATAAAATTGCACTCAGATCTATTGACGACTTCTGTTATATTCATAACCTTTTTAAACAAGTATACACTACAGGCAGAAACTAGCAACAAGAAACATCAAAGTAAAACCCATATACCTAAATAGCAAATTGAACTAAGACATTCTTAAAAGGGCTGACATGCAGATACTACAAATGGCTATGTCCAAATCAGATGAGACAAAAAAAAAAAAAAAAAAAAATATGTCCAAATCAGATGAGACAAAAAAAAAAAAAAAAAAAAGGAGAAATGAAAGCTACTCAGGAGAAGGTATCCGACCTAAAATAAAATATAAAAAAGAAAGCTCCATCTACGGCCTTGTAATAATTAACAAAAAAAAAAAAAAAAAAAAAAAGGAGAAATGAAAGCTACTCAAGGAGAAGGTATCCGACCTAAAATAAATATAAAAAGAAAGCTCATCTACGGCCTGTAATAATTAACGCATGTTAGCATTAGCATTAGGATTTCACCTCAATGTCTGCTATGCAAGTTCGGTTGCTGTGTCAATGCCACAAAGCTCCATACTGTTAATTGAGAAGCAACCTCAGTGTGGATTTTGGCCAGCCCATAGTTGGTAAACTGGCATATTATGAATCGATTGATTTGCATTACTATAAATTGTAGGATCCCGATTAAGAGGACTACTCCCATTCTCGTCAGAAGACTCACTAGAGGCCCCTTGTGAAGGAGGGCTGGATGTTGTCAATGGTGCACCAAAATTCAACATTTGGGGAAGAGTTCCTGACGAAGTCCCAGATTTCGATATATTTGAGCTTGATTTTTTACCATCTGCAATAAAGCTGCCAACAATGACCTGGCAGGCAAAAGGAACAGGTAAGTAAATATGATGATAAAACCACTACTGACCCAAGCTTCCAATTGAAGATCTGGTAGTTGAAAGCTCGACTGCTCCAATGGTTGAACCATAATTTTCCAATAAATTAAAAGAAAATAAATAATTTATAAGCCGCGGGTAGGTCCTAATACAATATTAAGGATGCTACTCTATGGGTACAATGGTAAAAACAGCCTCTTTAGGTAAAGCAAGGTTAAGGCTAATTATAGACAAACATCTCCCAACTCTCACAAAGCAAAAGAGCATTGTGCATTGGCGCTGTATCTATACTATAACTGTATATTAAAAATATGTAAAATACTTGTTCGACAAAATTACAACTTGTTACATTGCCAATGTCACCAGAATTAAATTCAATCAATTACAGTAATTCTCATCTACAGTATTATAGAGATTATCAAAATGAAAAACTTGTTACCTTCTAATATTATTTGTATGTGTTTAAATGCAAATACACATAAACTACAGAAGTATATTGGATCGTCATTGCAATGTTTTTCACTCTATTATTTATGAATGGAAACCAACCCCTACTAGTTTGAGAATAAGTGTTAGTTATTTTGTTGTTATTGCCGTACAATTTATCAAGGGAAAATTAACATTTTTCCATGTATTTTATCAAAATACACTAATCTATCCCTGCATTTTTCAAGTATACTAATATTTGCCTATGTTTTGCATTTGTTACACTACTTTGGCCTTCGTCAAATTTTTGTACAATCTTGGTTAAAAAGTAAAAAAAATGCAAGGACAGAATAGTTAATTTTGATAAATATGAGGACAAAACAGTAAAGTTTCCGAAAGAGTATCACAAATATTGACAGAAAAAAGTACAAAATCGACATGGGTACAAAATAGTGTAATGAATGCAAAACATAGGGAAAAATTATCATATTTTAAACAATTTAAGGACAGATTAGTATTTTGACAAAATACAGGAATAAAATAATAGTTTTCCCATTTATTGATGTAGTTCTAAATGATGTTAAAAGAGGTTGAAAAACATTGCCTATAAATTTAGTTTACAATCATCAATTGTTAATTAATTCTATAAATGATGTTAAATTAGGTGGAGAAAGATTGCCAATAAATTTAGTTTACTGTAAGTGTACAATTATTAATTTATTTTATAACTATTGCTTAACATAGCAATGAGAACTCTTCATAACCTATTTAAATCACTTCAACTCTGAACCGATTAAATGATATAACTAATCAAATTTATGATGAGTGATATTCAAGATAGAAATTGTATCAGAACACCCAAGACAAGAACCAACCAGAATTTAACTTCAATGACATTTTGATAATAAATCAGTGTATTCTATTCTTGTTTTTCCCCGCCAAATGTTTCACAATATGCAAAACATGAGAGTTTGTGTGTGTATATTATTTATAAGATCAATATTATTTTCATACATTACAAATACAAGAGATGGTGTTAAACTGATACCTGTACTGGTGATGCTGCTAATAGCATTCCAGCAACTCCTCCACCCAAGACTCTACCATCTGAACCTGCCAGTGACACACTCAAACCACCAGTTCTGCTGCGACTACCATTATTTTCAGAAAGCAAGAAGGAACCTGAGAGAGAGATAATTTCAAATCGGCCCTGTAAAGAAAAATATCAAAACTGCTGTTAAAATTAAAGGAATGGAGTTACAAATTAGCCCTCCAAAAAAAAATTTGAGGTACATGATCAAAATATTAAAAGTCATTCCTTTTATGGTGCCAAAATTTAAAGAGTGCCTTAACGTGACAGACTCATCAATTAGTGTGAAAACATCTCCCATATGTACAATCAAGCAACTGGAACATTCCAATTGCATTTTTCAAATAATAAATGTTAAAAATATGCGTTAATCAAGGCCATTAAGATGTCATGTACAGAACGGATCCATTGTTCCCAACAACATTGTAGTTACGGACTAGTCCTAATTTAAGTGCTTGAACAAAGCCACTTTATTAAGCAGTCAAACAACTGCAGTTTCTCGTAGTCACCAGTACCCTTCCTAGAAAATAGGTGTAATTCAAGTTGGGTTTTTGAGTACTTGATTCCTAGATCTTGTTGTCACTTAAATTTTCTTCACCCATGCTACAGGATGTAGTTCGATCACTAGATTTTCATGATGAAATCTCACAGAGAACCTGGTGATGCATGTTACTAATGTTTAAGAATTATAGCAAATACCTTCAATTTCATTGAGGTAAATGGTACGAAGAGTTCAAATAAAATTCAAACCACCTAAGACTATATCAAGAGTGTCAATGCGGCAGGTTTAGCCATTCCCAGCTGAAATCAGAAAATCAGGGTGAAAGAGCTAGTACAGCTGCAAATGAGCTTTATTGCTTGTGACCCAGTTGGAGCTAGGCGCAACTTGTTGAATTGGTTTCCTCATGTTAATCAGCTCAAGCTTACTATTTATACTTGTTAAATAAGCAAACAAAACTTGGCACACTAGTGCTTAGGACAAAAGCAATAATATAATGGTAATTAGCTAAGATATTTAATTTGCTACGGTAACGAATAATACAAAAAAAAATGAAATTTTACTACAAAAATAAAACATGCTATAGGTGAAAGGAAAAGAAAAAGCATGAAGATTCGAAGAAGAATAATACAAGAAAATTAGTCAACCAATACTTGCAATTCCATTCAAAAACATCTCATGGTTTTTTATTGATCCATGCCTACAGCTACTTTCCCCATTGAATTGGGCCGCAGAGATAAAATTCAACGAAAGAGAAAAAAAATTGCATCTCTAAAGAATAAATTGTAGGAAAAATGGCATCCAATTCATCTTTTAAGGGAAAAATAAATGAAATGCTACTTGCTGAAAAAAATATAGCAACAATAACCTCTTGATGACTTCCAATTTCTTTAATGGCCACATTGTAGATTCAACACTTCCAGCAAAAAATCACGAACACATCAAAAGAATTCCATTTCTGCCTTCAGTATTTTGTGTCAACTAAGCAATGCAGAAAGTTCACTTCATAAATAGGTTACTTCACATGACAACAATTACCTTGGACATAACCACTTATCATTTTGGTCACCATGCCTTCTATCCCTTGATTCATAACCACATCTCAACAAAATTTGCAACTGTAGTGGAATGAAATTCCAATTCCCAAACTTACAAGTACGTCTAACTTTGAAATTAAGTTAACCAAAGCCTAACAACACGATATTCCTTTAGCTAAGTTTTACTTTTTTTTTTCCCCGGTTGGCTCAATCTATTGAAAGTGATAGCAAATTCAACTCTTCATTTTATCCTAAAGTGCCCATATCATGTAATGATACTTGAACATGGATATGAAAGTTTTATGCACACCGCTAAACTACTAATTGAACCAAACCAAACTTATTAGAAAATAAAGCACAACTAAAACCAAATATTTTGCTTCAGTGTTTGGTTATAATAGACCAAATAGTTATAATTTTTAATTTAAATGCTGTTAATCAATTTTTTGTAATACATTATTAATAAAAAAAATATAATTTTAATGACATTTTACAAATAAAATATAATTTAAAACTATATATTATTAGTAGAGATGTATTAAGCATGATATAATATTATAATAATAATAATTATTATATTTTATCCATTAATTAACAAAGATTAAGTTATTTCAATTAGTTAAGTCAACATTTTTGAAATAACCTAACTGATAACCAAAAACTAACTTTTCTTATAAATAATAACCATATTGAACCAAAAATCAAAGTTCTCTACTAAAATGACGAATTTCATTGTTTTCAGTTAAAACTGAATAGTTTCAACTTTACCTTCAGCCAGAAGTAAATTAGAAATTTATTACCAAGTCATTCAAAGAAAGGTTCTTTCACGCAAAGCATAATGGGTGGGCCTCCCCCACTGCTGTAACCAATGTTGCTATATTGTACTAGCCATACTTGCCAAAACGGGCACTAAGGATTCACTTAACCTTTACTGATTTCTTCCTTTGAGACCTTCCTGCCATGTCATGGCTACAATTTGAATCTAAAACTAGTTACATGACTTCTCTGTTAAATATTAAAGTCTATACCTATATATTTTGGCGAAAGCACTTCCAGATAGACCTGGCAATTGGTCCGATTGTTTTAATTCCAAACTAGACTAAAACCAGTGAGGGACGACAGGCTCAAAACTGCTCATCAGAATTGGGCCTCACAGGAACCGCACCAGAAACGGAACCAAAGCCAGGAGGACCAATTCTGATCCCAACTCCGAGCTTCACAAGCCTGGAACCGCTGATTCAGCGAATTGGCCACCAATACTTCCAGAGAAGTGCTTGGTATAAGATCTCCATCAGCAATATAGGCACTCATCAGAAGAGTAGAATTTCAATCAAAAAAAAAAAAAAAAAAAAAAAAAAAAAAAAAAATAAATAAAAAAAAAAAAAAAAAAAAAAAAAAAAAAAAAATAAAAAAAAAAAAAAAAAAAAAAAAAAAAAAAAAAAATTTGTTTATTAAGACTTATTATTTTGAAAATACATTAGTTCATTAGCATGTAAGATCCATTGAAAAGCCATGAAAAGTGCATATCATTCTTGGAAGAAATAATAAAGTCTTGCAAGCCTTAACATATTAGGACTTCACCAGTATTGCTACTTAAACAAGGAATAGCCTTAAAAATACAAGGAGACAAATTCATCTAAAAAGAAAAAATCTCAAACCAAGCGTTTTTCATGGAAGTAATCCCATTAAAAAATAGTACTTGCTGTATCAAATATCAAATGTTATGTCATAGTGCCAAAGGCATAAGGATGCACTCCAAGCCCACAAAACTACTTAGGAAAAAAAAAAAAAAAAAAAAAAAAAAAAAAAAAAAAATTTGTTTAAGACTTATTATTTTGAAAATTACATTATTCATTAGCATGTAAGATCCTTGAAAAGCCATGAAAATGCATCATTCTTGGAAGATAAAGTGCAAGCTTAACATATTAGGACTTCACCAGTATTGCTCTTAACAAGGAATAGCCTTAAAAATACAAGAGACAATCTAAAGAAAAATCTCAACCAGTGGTTTTTCATGGAGTAATCCCATTAAAAATTAGTACTTGTATCAAATTCAAATGTATGTCATAGTTGCCAAAGGCATAAGGTGCACTCAAGCCCACAAAATACTTAGGCACATTAACAAGGCACAAGAATTCACCTGCGGGAAGTAAGGTGCACATTAATAAAAATGCATATGCAATACTTGTATAGTAGTTTATAACAGGCTATATGCGCACTAAATTGCATGGGAATCACAAAAATCTGATCTGAAGCTATAATGGTAAGTCATTTGCATGGAAAAGTGAAAAAGTAAATAGCAATCAATAGAACTAATCAGAATTCAAAACACGAAAAGCAATGTCTTTTCCTTTTCTCCAATTCCTTAGTACACTAACAATTTATAACAAACTAGGCCTACTCTATTAGGAGTTGAGTTTGCCACAATGAGTACCAGAGTTTATTAGAAGGGTCAGTGACATTTTCAATTTGTAATTAGAACACCTAACCTAATAGTATGGTGACATCCAACTTATAAAAGTTGATTTATACAAACTGTACTTATAATCCTCAAATACTAATGTCCAATGATTAAAACCAACTCAGTAATGGCAGTGACAATAAACAGCCACATACGGAAATCAAAGCAGGTCAAGGACAGGTGTACCGTCTTACTTTTAAAATTTTTTAGACAAATAAAACCTAATGATGTGGGGTAAAGTTGTCCTTCCTAATTAGCAATGGACCAAGTACAAGAATGCCAAAAAAACCAATAATAAAGAGTTAAAAGAAATTTCTCAGGCCCCTTTGTTGCATAGCTAGCACTTAAAGATGTTTGCCGGGAACCATAGGCATGAAGCTTGACCTCCGACCAATAGGGTTGCTTGAACTCAAAGCATTAAGTGAACTAGGAACCAAATGCAACTAAGGTGCACCTTTGCAACTATGATATAAATGCTCACATTTATAAGAAATTATACGTTACTGCAAATATTTGATGCATAGAATTATAAAATCAATAGAAATGGAAAGTACTTGTAAACTAGACTACCTTTTAAAGCAAATTTTCAAGCAAGAGGCCCATGTAAACTTCAACCAAAAATCTAACCGTCTACATGTTGATGAAATCCAAATATATGTCATATTATATTTATAGCTATGTTCAAAGCTTAATAAGCTTCAAAATGTTGATTTCCAAAATCTCAGGGAGAGACACCATACAAGAAGTCTTGGGTATTATAATTGGGGTATAGAATACATAATCTAGTCCTAATTAAAGAATGAAGTCATGGGCATTTGAAAATCCACTTTGCATTAGTTCACATACTTGACAAATGCATTATAGCTGAATTAATAGCTAAATGAAAAGCCTTTGTCAACCCAGCACTATGAAATATTATACCGCCTCCCAAAGAGTTTATATTGTTAGTCATATGAATTTGAACGAATGAGGATAGAATGGTTAGTGGTGTAAGTGGCAAGGGTACCAGGTAATGGTTACCTTTTCAGTTAGTGTAGTTCACTTTTGTATATGAGGTCAAATGAATTATTGTTTTTCCTTTTCAAATGTAGGATAGATTAAATGAACTTAACCAAAACACAATGAAGATTCATAGGCATAGGTGATAATAGTAGAAAACAAGTCATTTCCCTTTTTTCTACTTCTTTTCACCCAATCAACATAATCTCTTGGGTTAACCTATAATTCCATTTCTTGAGCTAGAATGAGTACATGTTAATCTGCCCAACATTGTCCCCTCACTTCAAATTTGTGGGATAAAATGTTACTCCAATAACACAATTATTAACACAATTATTCCCCTTTAACTCCATACCAAACAAACCCTTAATGCTGATAGTTTCTTTCCCACGTGTCATCCTAGAGTTTAGATGTCTTTAATCTTACTAGTTTTTATCCAAGATAAAGAACAAAGAACATTCATTTCACACGAATCAACATGTAGTCCATCAAAGAACCTTATACAAATATTATCCAAGCATTAAAAGTACCTCATACGTCACAGTACCACCAGACATTGCTGGTTGACGAAGGGTGACATTGCAAATGGCACCATTTGCAGAGAGAATACAAACTGTCCGTGGCCCTTGCTGCGAAAAAGCCATAATCTTTGATGCTATGTCCTACAAAACAGTGAGAAAATTAAAATAAAGAATTTCCAAATAAAACTGAATTTTAAAATGCTGGTTCTTAAAAAAAAATGATATGCCGATACTAGCATTGGAAACTTCATTTCTGATTAACTAGTTAACATTGATACATTTATGAACTAGGATAACTATCTTATCTAGTAACAGAGTCTCTATGAATTTTATCGGAATAGGAAGTCTCTATAGGCAACAACCAATAAAATAGAGCATTACTCAACTATTGGCTGAAAAAGTATAAATAGGAGAGGTGATGTTAATTTCTCTTTGATTGATACACCCACAAGAACACTGACAATAATTTGAAGTTAGAATCATGAGTACTATTTTTTAAAAAAAAACAAAATTGTATGTTCGCCATGTTCTAGATATTCTTTATAAGTTCCTTTTATTTCTAACCTTTTGGGAAGGTTGTAGCTATCAACATTTAGTTTTCTATCTTTTTTTATACTGACAAGGCCTATCCGCGCTAAAAAGCATAGCCAAAAAACTGTTGGAGCCTTCAAGGGACGAAGAGATTGGATAAGTATATATTGAGGAGCCCAAGGAAGACAACAGCTCATAGAAAACAAATTACCTTATCTTAGAAGGCAGTAAGATGACAAAACTTGAATCTGACACATCAACTAGATAGTTTTATATCAAACTTGAAAATACTCTTTTAATAAATAAAGCAAACATTTTTTTAATACATGCAAAAAGGCATGCAGATGCAAGGATAAGAAGAAAACAGTAGTTGAGGGAAAAGCTTAATGTGCAAGTAAAAAGGTTTAGCAGCAATGATTTAGTTTAATTTTGCTTTTTCATTCTGGTCGTCTGCTTGTAGGCTTTATATTTTTGCTTCTTTGGTCATGAATGAGCAGACAAAGCACAGTCAAGAGCTCATCCTTGATGTAATAATTGCAACAGACAGGATAATTGCCAAGTTATTGTTGAGAATATGTTGAAATGATGGAGATGCACCCTAGGTTCTAAGGATCTCAAGTTACGTAGAAGAGAAATAAAGCATGTGTTGTAACTTCATCAATAAAGATGTGCAAGTTTAGCAAAAGAAGATGAAGTGATCAAAGTGGTGTTAACATAGATGGCGCAGACGTACCACAAAACACAATTTAAATACCTAGCTGCTGTCACACAAGGGGCTGGGGGGAGTAAGGAGGACATTAACCAAAAGATTAATGAATGAAGGTTGAGTGCAGAAATGCAACAAGAGTCCTATGTGATTGCAAAATACCAACTAAGCTGAAAACAGGGTTTTATAAAATCGAGATCAAAACTGCCAAGATGTATGGTTGTGAGTGTTAGCTGTTGAAAAACCAAGAATTTCACAAGATTAATATGGTGAAAACAAAGGGGTGTAAATGAATTTGCAGAAGAAAATAAAAAAACAAAGGTGCACAGGATAAAGAATGAATGAGCTACGAAGAAAATGGAACACTAGATTGCTCATGGATGTATGCATGTATGCATCATGGATCAATAAATACACAAGAACACTAGATTGCTCACATTGAAATAACAGGAGATGAAAGGAGGAAAATAGGAGACAGAACTAGGACACATATGGCTGAAGTGGTAAGATTTGATTAAACTCTAGATCTTCATGACCCCGAACCCAAGGCAAGAATCTTCTTCAGAAAATCTTTAAAATAAATGACTACATGAAGTACAATGAAGAAGACAAATCTATTTAGTGGGATTAAGATTAGTTCAGCTTAGTTGTAATTTAGTTCTAGTTCTAAGATAAAAAGAACATTCGTTTACAAAAAGCTTCTACGTGTGTGTACAACAAAAGGAGGGGAGGATATATTACTATCAAGAAAGAATTTGCCATAAGTACTGAAGTGTAATTTAGCCTAACTATTGGGAAAAGAAAAAAGCATTTGTTAAAGAAAAAAGCATTTGTTTAAGAAAAGCAGTTGATTAGGATGAGGAGCTTTTGTCGAAGTCTTAATAAGTGAATCATTATAATGTTGTAGAACTGATTGAATCAGTACTGTTATCATAAATCTTTTACAAAATCAGAAAAAAGAAGAGTCAAATCAATATTAAACTAATAACTTCACTACATATCATAAGTACCTTATAGATCTAACAATTTATTGTGAAAAAATAATTCATTACAAAAATAGTTCCAAGAAAAATTATGCGAAAGGATTGATATACTATATTATTACAGAAATTTGATATACAAAAGTAATAAATAAGGGTTGATGGTCCAAACAAAAATAAAAATTAGAAGAAGTAAACTTTAAAATAGTGTTGTATTCATTACAAGCTTAAGCAGAAGCCTATTAAGCCACTAAGGTTAAAAATAAAATCCCATATTTCATGCATCAGGGATTTAAAAGGAAACCAAAAATAGATATAAAACCATAATGTCCTGTTTCCATCAGTAGCCCCCAGCCATTACATTGTGTATGGTCTATAATTGAAGGTTCAAATTAGAAATGGTCTTGTGCCTGCGCTATCAAGTCAGGTAGAAAAAACTAGAATAAATATAGCACCATCCTTCTATCCATCCAAGAACCTCTATTCATCCCTCCCCCTTCTTTTTTCTACTGCTCCTCTGCCGCTAACAAGCACAACAATATGATTAATGCTTGATAACATCCATTTCAGGAATTTTTCACTGTTTCAGTAACATTTCACTGTGAATCTATATTTGATCAAAAATAGTAAATACAATGAAATTTTGTCAGTTACTATCATATACACTCTGTAATGACCTATTATTCAAAAACTTGGTCAGGACTCCAAAAAAAAAAAAATCAACAGTGCTTTTTGTTCTACTAGAAATCTACTGTTCTACTAGAAATCTACGACAGGCAACAGCTTTTTAAAATTCTAACCAAACACTTTGGTCTGGCTATTGGAGCTTAACAACCATAAAAAATCCTGCCAATAGCATAACCAAACGAATCCTAAGTCCTCATCACATGTAAATCTAAATTAGTCAACATCTTTAAAATTATCATACCCTTTACTTCCACTTGAACTTCAAACAATGAACCCTTCTAATAATCCGCATTCAACACAAGTTTATTTATGTTTTTGCAGTTTCATTTATATGGAATGCACAAAAAGTAAAGAAGATCAAAATTTACACTCTATTGCCTACAATAAGATCATGTTTAGCCACCTTCAAGCACGGAAAAAAAAAAAAAAATCAAAACTTTCTGCTCTATTTTCTCTTTTTCATTCTTCCATATTCATTAATGTCCATAAAAACTTCCCAATTTTCATTTGAAAACTTTCTTCCATTGCTAAAAAAAAACTTTCCGCTTTCACTCTTTCTTCTTTTCTTTTCTTTTGTTTTTTTTTTTTTTTTTTTTTTTTTTTTTTTTTTCAACACAAGTTTATTTATGTTTTTTTTGCATGTTCATTTATATGGAATGCACAAAAAGTAAAGAAGATCAACAATTTTACACTCTATTGCCTTACCAATTAAGATTTCATGGTTTAGCCACCTTTCCAAGCACGGAAAAAAAAAAAAAAAAAAAAAAAAAAATCAAAAAACTTTCTGCTCTATTTTCTCTTTTTTCATTCTTCCATATTCATTTAATCGAATGTCCATACAAAACTTCCCAATTTTTCATTTGAAAACTTTCTTCCATTGCTAAAAAAAAAAACTTTCCGCTTTCACTCTTTCTTCTTTTCTTTTCTTTTGTTTTTTTTTTTTTTTTTTTTTTTTTTTTTTTTTTTTTTTTTTTTTTACAATTCCATTGCTTTCCTTTTTTTTTTTTTTTTTTTTTTTTTTTTTTTTTTTTTTTTACAATTCCATTGCTTTCCTTGCGAAACCATCAATGATTACATTTTAATGAAACATTATAAAAAAAACACACAAGCATACCTCTCCTGCTTTCACTGTAATCACATGAGGTGTAAACCCCACGCCTCCAACCCCTCCTGCGGGTAAGATCAACAGATATTTATGAATAACATAATTAAAATGCAATATTATTCACACACACGCAAAACCAAGTAGACAAAATTACCTAATGCATCAAGCTGCTTTTTGCCCGACCCCGGGGGCCTTCCTCTATTCCGCTTCGCCGGAGGTTCAGAGGCCACGCCAGACGTGCCGCCCCCAGAATCCGCATGACCTAAAGAGTTTGCTGACGAAGAAATTGGGGTGGGTGACAATCCCAAGGCAATGTTGCCATCGGGGGTGTACTTCCTAGGCCTCCCCCGCTTCTTCTTTGCGGGTTCCATACTAAACCTCATTCCGGTGGAAGAAGGCGGCGACGATCCATCAAAAACACCATCCGAAGAGGGCGCCTTGGATTGTGAGCGCGGTGGGCCCACCGAATTGAAGGGAAAACCAGCGGCAGCAGTTGGATTGATGTTAGGATTCATCATATTCATGGCGTGATGAGCGGCGGCGGCGTTGTAAGAGGAAGTGGAACCTAGTAACATATTCGGTTGCTGTTGTGGATGCGATGGTATTTGCTGTGGCGGTTGTGGCGGTGGCTGTGGTTCTCTTGAGTCCATTATTAATTTTCTGGCTCTCCGACTTTCTAATACAAGAGGAAAAGGGTTGTTTGGGAAGTGAGAAAATGTGAAGGAAAATTGGGGAATGGGAGAGAAGAAGTTATGCGTATGTGTGAGTTATCTACTCCTAGTAGTACTAGTCATGGAACCTACCACTTTGAAGTGAGGGAGTGAGTACTAAGCAAAATTAAAAAATAATAATAATAATAAGTTCTAGTAGTAGGAAAGCGTAAGTGGAGCCGGAAACCAGATTTATTTTTTATATTTTTATTTATTAAAACTAAAGTAGGGTTTTTGCAATTTAGGGTTTTAAGTTTTTCTTTTGCCAACCTTCAAAATTTATTTATAAATAATAATAATAATAATGTATGAAAAAAAAAAATTTATCTCATTAATGTAAAGATCAAAGAATGAAGTTTTTAGCTTCGGCATTACAAGTTGACTCTTCAATTTTAGTTAGTTAATTAAAAAATAAATTCAATTGATCTCTTTTTTTAAAGAAGAATTAAATTGGTCTTTAATTAGTCTTTATCTCTCTTCAAATTTAATTTCCGTTAATATTCTTTTCATTAATAGAAAAGACTGAATTTATGCTTTATACAATTCAAATTATACTAGAAGTATATATTCGTGCACGTTTAATAACAGAAATGAGAAAATATAAAAAAAACACACACGTATCTATATCTATCTATCTAGCTATGCTGATGGTATCGCCCTCGAATGTTCTAAAATAGCATTAGTCATAGTCAATTCGAAAATCACATTTTACACCGAGTATTTAAATGCGTGATTTGACACTCTTTTCCCTTGAGTGAGGTCGAAGATTCGATCCTCATGGATAAAGTAAATACTTATTATGAGCACTTTATCCCTTTTTGGGTCGACTTGGTCTGAGCAGAATTTAGTTCTAACTTAGTGGACTCGAGATACGAAAAAATATATATTTTATTATTTGATTGGATATAATTTTTAAAATTATTTTTTAAATAAATAAATATATTTTTGGGTCGATTTGGTCTGAGCAGAATTTAGTTCTAACTTAGTGGGACTCGAGATACGAGAAAAATATATATTTTATTATTTGAGTTGGATTATTTAATTTTTAAAATTATTTTTTAAATAAATAAATATATATAATAAAAAAAGAAAAAAGTATACTTTTTTTCTATGCATTGTTTAGGAAAAAATTGTTGGATTTATTTGAAGAAGATATCAGCGTTTCTTTCTATGTAATCTTTTTTATTACTTAATTAACTTATTTATTTATTTTAAATTTGCAACTTAGAATAATATATAGAAATAAAATACCTTGAATAAACTCATTAAGTGAGCAATATTGGTCCTAACATCCTAACATGATTTGCTTTGTAATTTTCATTCATTGACTTAGCTTTTCTTTTGTCCATCAAAATCAAATTTAATTAAATTATAGCATTTTCAGAGTTATTTTTAAAATTTAAATTGATAATTTTTTAATATAATTTATTTCTTGTTATGTGTTGAATTCTTAAAAGAGTTTTATTCTTAAATAATAATATATAAAAATTTATTATTTTTATTTTCTTTTTCGTTATTGAATTAATTTGTAGCTACTATCACTTTAATTTAATAAGAGATTTATATCTCCCTTGCAATGAATAGATGGCCTCTTAATTAAGCATTTTTAATTTTCTTAATATTTTTTCTTTTATATCCTAAATATGTTTGACTTGAAAGAAAATAGTGTTTATGAAATTGAGAAAAACTAGAATAATATATTTTTGTTTTGTGTTTCAAGAGTTTGTATGTATATTCATATATTCCTTTCTCTAATGCATTGGCAAGTAATACTATCACATAGCCAAAATGATCACCATTATTTATTTAGATCATCTTCTCATTTTTTTTTTATTTTACCTACTAGTAAAAAAATTTATTATTATTTTTCATTATAGCTATATTGTCATGACCCGATTCCATGGGTCAGACCAGCACTAGGACCCAGGTAAGCTTAAGACCTCCGAAGCCCGTAGTAAGCCTGAAATACTAAAAATTTACTATCTCAATATAATTTTAAACATTCAGCCCATATTTATAGGAAAATAAACCTCAAAATCAACTACAACATTCCACAAGTTCGCGGCCCCAATTAACACATACATCACATTTTAATATGGGCTCACATTAATTATATCGTCTATTGTTTAATACACGAACTAATTGTACGCCAAATTCTACAACTGACGGAATGTTCACTAACTACTTTGCCCTCGGCTATACATAGTTTATACATATAATAACATAGTAAATAATTATGAAAATTGGAAAAATTTCTTCAATAAGACAAACCCTGCCTGCGAACGGAACTAACAAAAAAGAAACTCTTCCTGAAAAAATTTTAACAACGATTATGTAGCCCTTCTAAGAAGTAATACTATTGCACAACACAGCATCAACACAATTGCTATAAATATATCAAATCTAGTCATACACCGACTAGTATATATGCCTCACGCACCCAGGCCAGTCACAACCAATGGCAATCTACTTAGCCACTCAAGATTATTAACATCCTTCACATAATCAACATCAACGCTGGCAAATGGTCAGTAGCAGTCAACCGAAAACCCCCGACGAGCCGCTTTACTCTCACCCGCCCCATCCTCTAAAGTGTGCACCTGCGGGAGCCAATCCCCCATACCTGGCACCACCCGACTGGTCTAATTCTCACAGCCGACCAGTCTTCTCATTGTTTACAGTCTCTATTGTTTTTACATTCCTCTCTTTCTTTCCATTACCAAACAGGAGGCAACCACGTGCCGCTCTCATCCAATCTAGATCATCAGGCCGCTCACAACAGGAGGCCACCCTGCCGGGCCTGCGATCAGATATGTTATCAGGGCGCAACGACGATGAGCCATCCTGCTGGTTCTAATTAATCCATAGATCAGCGCTGCCATGGCGGCGAGGCGCCGATCTCCATTTTCCCGGCGACAGTCCAATTTTCATAATTATCATATCTAAGATCATGCCTTTATGACCGTCCTCACCAAACCCGATGCGTGACCTTACTTACCAATTCCATACAAATAAAAGCAACAGCCAATATCACAACACAATTAATCAAGTATTGCAATTAAATGCAAGCATATTAATCAATTAAAATCGTCTAATGCCAAATGCACAATTTAGACAATCCAAAATCAAAAGCAAATTAAAATAAGTAAATAGTGTTAACAATAAACAACAATAATAAAATATAATATAATAATAAACAATTAATAATGAAAATAAATAAAATAAAATAGAGCCCAACTTCTATTTTGTTATGCCCTATTCAAAATTTATAGATTTATCTAATAACTTATTAATATGTTATTAATTTAGATTAGCCTAGGTTCTATCGAAATTTCGCGCAGAACCTCCCACTCAAAATATGACTATCTACCTGTTACATATCACAATATACTAATATTTGAATCAATCAATACACACAGTCTATCCGCGGGCATTCAATTCAAATCGAATATTCCGCTCCTCACTTTAAACATCAAGTATCGCCATTTATCATCCATAACAACTTACTTAAGCCTTAGCTTCATAATCTAAATAACATCATATTTATTATGCTAAAAAACATTAATGGTCAATCCCAAGTAATTCTTGAAACTCTATAAATCAACTACTCTTTGCCTCAAATTAAGAAGTCTTTCATTATTCTATTGACTTTCATAAATTCCTTGCCCATTTCAAAATAAACATACAAACCTATCAAGCCTTAAAATAGCAAACAATCCCTTTAAAACTCTTAAGGGCTGCCCCAGGTTTATAATTCAAATATTTTTAAATCAAAAAAATTACTATCAATATAAGATAGAATACATGTAAGAAAATGGCAAGAATGAATGAGTGAATTTCAATCAACTTTCTCTCCTAATCCAATCACTTTTCGGGCCATTTGAGAGAGAATCAATTTCATATTAATTCATAGTCTTAGATGTTTTATATTACCCATTTTATCAAGAAAATAGAACATACTACATCCTTTTGCCATCCTCATTATGATTTGTAATTACCATTCTCTCCATATTATAATTAACTGTACAGATTCAGCCAGCGTTAGCTTGCTCCCCTGCCCCCCTATTGAGAAGTCCTTGATTTTCCTACTAGAATGCAAATAAACTAGATAAACCCTTTTCCTTATATGTAATTCAGTTCATGTTTAATAGAGGATAATATCAAATTTCCCATCGCATTAATGCGCATAATCAGTACTTTTTAAAAATCTAACCTTTCACAAAACAATAATACAGCGCCTCAAATCTTTTCTTCATTTATGATATTCATAAAACACGAAGAAGAATTGGAGCCAGGAAATTACTTTACTCAGCTTGGAAAATGTTGGAATTGAAGGTGGGAAAATGTTGGAAACTTGAAGGTGAGAGCAGATAACGCGACTGTACAGATCGCAAGCCACGATCGCAGCTCCGCCAGCTTGCTGCGTCAGCCGGAATGGGAAAGGAGGGAGTAAAAAGTGAGACCCAAGCTTTGTCGTTGAAAGAGAGAGGCTGGAGTCGTCGGAAAAATCGAGGAACAGGAGGCTCGACGCGACTTTCCGATCAAAGGATGTCGCGGCTCTCCTGTGCCTTCTGCGTACGCCAGAAACGAAAGAAAGGAAGGGATGCCGAAATCCACTGCGGCGAGGAGGCAACGGCAAGGTGTGGCACTGGTCTCCAGTGATCGGAAGAAGAGAGGAGGAGAGGGCGAGGGTGAGGTCGACGCTGGAGGAAGAAGAAGAAAGGAGAGAAAAAAAAGAAAGAAAGTAGGTCGATTTCTAGATCATTTCGGTTCGATTCGAACCGGTTTGGTCCAATTAAGTGATTCGACTTGGTTTACAGATTTTCCCCTAGTTTTCAAAAAACTCAAATTGGTTTACGGGTCCGGTTAGGCAATAATAAAATACTAGGTGGTGTAATCTCATTGGTTGAAATAAAAATTTAGTTTTTAAATGAAAATTCTACGAAATTAAATTTTCGGTTCGTTTCATATATAATTCTCACGATCTAAAACCATGGGCCGAACCGGAACTAAGGGCCAGGTAAGCTTAAGGCTCTCGAGGCCCGTAGTAAGCCAAACAAAAGAAAATTCAATTATATCAATGTAAATTCTAAGTATTAAGCCCAT